GGTGGCCTGTTCATGTGTCACCACTACAGACACCTGGTTTATTGACACCCCCTTCTTGAAGTCGGATCTTTCTCCTCTTTTGCACCAGGTTCGTTGTAACCTAGCCTTCCTGTTCTCCCTCCCAGGAGTCAACCACCGTCATGTTGTCCAGGTCTGCGTTCGAAGTGGATTGCTCCGCCTGATCTTCATCTGGCGCCGCTCGCTTTCTGGGTGTCCTGGCCTCCTGGGCCGGGACAGCGGGATGACTTGCTGGGCTGATCTCCGTTAGGTCAGCCGATCTGGAAGACTGGAGGGTCGGTGGGATCTCAACAAGGGGTGAACCTACAGGAGTAATGTTTTCTATTATGACCTGCCTCCTAACTTGTGGGGTTATGGCAACTAAAATAGGCATCTGACGAAGCTGTTTCAGCCGCATAGGGGCAACCTGTAACCCTTCAGATTCAGCAGTTTCTGAATGGGTCAAGCCTTCTGGTGTCAAGATTGGAGGCTCAGAATCAGATGGGCTGGTTGGGTCAGTGAGGGCCGTGCCATCGGTACTCAGAGGACCGGATCGGCTCGCCTCGCTACTTAAATATCTGTCAAAGTCATCCAGGTAATTTTCCAGGAGACTTAGATCGTTATGATCTAATGGATGTTCAGACAACCTTCTAGGGGACATTTCTACCTCCATGGGCTCGGTTTCATTATAGGATGTAGTTGGCAAAAGGTCAGGTGGGCCATTAGTTGGGTCTTGGGGCTGGCTGGCTATCTCGGGTGGGGTTGTAGGGACACTGACACTGGCTCGTCTACCTTCTTCCCTAACTACCATGGGCACGGAGACTACCGGGGGGCTAGTTGTCAACCCTGCCGTTAGAATGACCGTGGCAGATGAGGACGTGAGCTCTCGGGGCTCCTGTGTGACCCTAAAGGAGGGGCCGTGAACCAACGGCAACCCTGTGGCCAGATGGTAGGCTATATGCCTGATAGTTTTATTTGTGTTTTCCCAGAGTTTTACTATTACTGGGTAATACGTGGCTCTCCTAGGGATGGCTATTCTAGGTATGTAGGGTTCAGAGCCCTCGGCCGAGGTCCAGATGACCTTGCAGGTGCTCTCTACCTCCCAGCACTCTTCTGCCGACACCTGAGGAAGACTGGCGGGCTCATCAGAGACCAAAATACCATGTACTCCAGTTGCAATTATAACTTTAGAGTGGCAGCCCTGGCACCACCAGGTTGGACCCACGGCCCATAGAAATCGGGTATCTTCCAACCCCAAAAGGCAATAGCAGCAGACCATTTGAGGTCCTATTGCTGTTGAAATTCTGGGGCGCTGATTCTGCATTTTGACCGTTGTGGCTTATTTGGTCCAACCTTTGCCCTTAATTATTTTTTAGAGTGAGGTTTTCTTAAACCGATAAAGGGTGGTTCTGCCCTGTCGTCTGGCTATCCCACAATAGGTGCGGGTAATGAATTTCTCCCACTCTTCCAATTGGTTTAATTGTTGGGCTGTGATCACGGTTTTCCAATCACAGTACCCAGGTAACAGTAATCCTGAGGTATTCGAGATGCCGTATTCCCTATAAGTAACGCTAATGTATTTATCCTGCCCTGCAGTTTCTATTTTTTGGATTTTGCATACGTCACCACAAGGGGTTACTCTAATCCTCTGGATCTGCTCGTGGTCGTACACTTTCGCTTCACAGTGGCAGAGGATGATTTCTCCGGTTTTTGTCGTTACTACGAGTTTGTCCGGAGCTGTGAAAGCGAACGCCCAGTTGCTGTAGACTGTTGCTGTGGTCAGGATGTAGAACAGGATCTGCATTCTGCTCCTTATGCTTTCTATAAAGAGAGTACATGTAATATAACATGGTAAAATAATAACAATGAAATCAAGGTCTGCTTCCACTCTCGGTCCTCATCGTGTCTCTGAAACACTCAACTTCGTATTGCTGGGCCTATACAGGCCGTCAGCTATCCATTGAGCATTTACCAGACCGATGATACCTCGAGTTCACATAATTCAAAAATAAAATCAATCATAATAAGAGAGAAAAATAACATTTAAACACTAAATCAATCTTTAAAATTTTAATAAAAGTTAGCAAAGGCGGGGAGGGGTAAAGCTGTTGTTGGTTATTTGATTACTTCTGTCATTATCTCGTTAGATTGGCTTGTCTCATTATCCTCCTGAGAATCTGCGGCCTTCGCTCCCCACCGGTGCAGGGGGAGCTGGATCAGGTCTTGGCTTAAAGATAGCGGCATAGGTCATCATCCACACCACTATAGGCATTGTGGTGCAGAGGCTGGCCCAATAGGCTATTGCACAAATTCCCCAGACTAGACCCCATCCTATTAACATGGCCAATTTTTTGGTCCATTTTCGTCTGTTTTGTGGTTGCAAGGATACTGTCTGGTACAGCATATTTGCCAACACCGTCACGGCCACTGTCCCTTCGACTATGGTCGCTACAATTCTCCCTGTGGTACCTCCACAGCTCGTGACTGGTATTGGTACCGGAGTAAGCGCTGCCGCACATTCAAGGCTAATCACTATGGAATCTTCTATTAGCCATGCTGAAATTATAATCTTCTGCAGGTAGGTGAGTTTGATTCTTCCTAACAGATAAGTGACAAAGAAATGAGGCGATATTTCAGGTCGTTTGAGTATCACATGGGAAACTATCACTCTAGCGTAAGTCTGAACTGCTACAGGAAATCTTATCAACCTTTCCTTACTCCAGTCTCCGGTGTGGCAGTAGCACATCCATGCAACCATTGTTAAAAAGTATTCTATATTGCTCCCATTAAAATAGGCTGGACATTCTGACAAAATGGTAAGATTTGGGGTCATTGTAGTCTCTGTCTCCCAATCTATAATACTCACATCGATGGTTGGAGTATGAGACATGCAGTCGTCTTGATTGTCCATAGAGATTTTTGAATTGCTTCTGTCCTGATCCTTGCTCTTTACTGCTCCCGGGGTAAGAGTTAAGCCGCTTCCCTGTTTATCTAATTTAAGGCTGAGCCGCACCCTACTCTGATGGGGGTGGCCTATAGCTCCTCCTCCATGGGCGGCATCCGGCTCTGAGGCACTCTCGTAAGAATACTTTACCTAATAAGGCAGCGGCTACTATCCCGACTACACTTAACAAATAAGGCCATACTTTGAGGAAGATACTAACTATCCATCCTTCTACCGTTTCTCCACCCTCTTTGATTACTTCACCTACGCCTTTCACCACCTCTGTGACCTTTCGGCCAACGGTGTAACTAACGGTTTCATACCATGCGCAAGTGTGTTCATCTTCCTGTGTGCCACATTTCTTCCAGTTTTCCTCTGGATACTGGCATGTGAGATTCGAGTAGATTTTATTTGGGCCTACCCACTCATAGCCCTCTATCTCATTGCCCAAGCACAGGCTGCGTCTCACTGCGTGGCCTTCTACTAAAGCTATCATTGAATCTGAGACAAAGGGGACTATTACTCCTTGAACTTGTTTCCTGGCGTGAAGCTGATATCCTAATATCTTATCTTCGCAGTGACCCTCAGGTACCCATCGTCTCCACTTGCCGCTATGTTTTTTCCACACTACCTGTGCTGCGTGCAAGGTGTATTCAGATCCATAATAACTCTTACAGTAGCTTTCCCATCCTGGTATCGTACCACAAGGCCTTCGAGCTAATGTAAGGACACATTGTGTTTTTGCCCTATTACAAGTCATGTGCCATGGTCTGGGACTAACATACCTATCCGGTCTATACAGGGGACTGGCCCATATGTCTTGCTCTTTAGAATAGACCGTGGCCAAATACTGATACTTAATCCAGTAGTTATTTGAAAGTTGCAAGCATGGCGCTACCCATTCTCTAATTTCTTCTTCCTGGAACCCCCACCATGTTCTAGAGTCATCTCGTTGATGATATTCATGCCATGCTTGGAGCAAGATTTTAACCGTTTCTTGTCTACGTAATTCTGAGCAATCATATCGCCAGGTGGACATAACGGCGACCTCTGTCTCCCATAATCTACATCTAGGCGACGCTCCACTACTTTGCCACACCGAGTTGTTAAGACTAAGAAAAATCCGCTCGGCTACACATTTGTCTATTTTGTCAAAATCGCCTTTAGGTGCATTGAGAAGCTCATCTGGTTTTGGCAGTTTTTGTACATACATGTCTGTATAATACGGTCCCATGAGGCCCTCAGACGTCCTGGAATACCCCTCCACGAAGTCACCTTCGAAGTGAGGCAGTCCAGTCGCAATCCAGACCCAGGGTAATGTCGCATTCAACCAGTTCTCATGCCAGGCATTATGTGGGTGAAATATGGCTGCCCAACTCCAGTAATAATAACGCTGATTCTGTACTGGAGTTATGGGTAGATAATTTTGAGTTTGGCATTCAGAATATAAGTTCCAAAAACAATATGGTAACTTAATCACTTTGGTCTTCATACATTGCTCTAACAGGTCAGGTCTGGCGATCATTGTTTTCCCATTTATCTCTATTATTTGGTATTGATGCAATTGGAGCTTCGTTTTGGCCTTGACTGTGGCATGGGGAGGCGGTGTAGGGCGCCTATTAGACCCCCAGTCTGTAGCATTTTTCTTGAGTGTTCTTTCATATCGTATTGTGTGAATTACCTTATTAGTGGTCGAATTCAGGTATTTACCTGTGCGATTCCTTTGAATAAGAGGGGGGATTCGGTCACAATCTAAGTGGATGTCGCCCCAGAACTCTCGACGAGGGAGAATTGCCTGGCAGCTGTCGTTTTTAGGTGGGGCCGGAAGAATTACTTCTCGGTCCCAGTAGCCTTGATGCTTTAATCCAATCAACGGTCGACATATCCAATCGCAGTGCCACTCAGGGGTTCCGTCCTGGGGCTGTATCCAGTTACATCTTGTTGATCGTTTGATCTGCTCTTTCAAAATTGCTATTCCGATGACTCTTTTCTCTGGTAGTATCATTAGATTGGTGACGACCCAATTGGGTCCGTCAGTTTCTGGGTCGGTGGAATGGTCTGCTACTGTTAGGTTTCCGGCCATTAAAGCCTCGCTCCATCCTGCCGTGACTCTCAGTCTGTTCATCCAGGCCTGATGACCCTCTTTCTTCAATTTATTCCAAGCTGCTATTTGGTTCTGGATGTTCTTTGCCGGGTTCCATGGTAAGGAAATATTCTGTGTATCGATATCCCAACAGTTCATGTCTGCATATTTTGATTTTCCATGGGCAACTGCCACATGTGTCAGGCTCCAGGGTCTGACTCCGGCTTGGTATAAGATAACCAACAACATTGCTAAGCCTATTAACACTACGAGTCCCCGCAGGAGGATTCGCAGGCAGGTTGCTTTATCCAAAATCGTAATCCTTTGACGGTCCATAGGTCGGTTTGGGGTCGCTTCATCATCGCTTTCATCGCTATTTGGATCATCACTGTTGGAGTTTCTGTTTCTCATGTGAATCATTTCGAGAGGGGCCCTTGCTCCTTTGTCCTCGATGTCTCGGCTTTGAGTGTCTGTGGGTTGTCGACACTCGTCCCTTAAGTAGTTCTTGATATATAGGAGAGGGGTGTGGCAGCTCTGGCTGTAGTCCTTTCCATACATATTTCCATTGAGTCACCAGCCATTTTTCGGGTTCAGGTTGGGGTCCGTAGAGGTCCCAACTTTGTTGAAAGTTAGGTCCTGCAGTTATTTTCCGTTGAGCCTTACAAAGGGCCTCTAAATATTGAAGTACAGTTGGACCATGTTCTTGCAATGTCTCTTTTTGTGTTATCAGGGGATTATCTTGGTATAGGACATGTACTGTGTACGCCTTTCTTATCCAAGGACTGTAATCGTGAACCGGTGTATATTCCCGATCTCTTATAATTCTTATAGGCAAATTTTGATTCTCAAACACGTACCGTTTTGGGTCATCTGTTCGTCTTCTGATGGCTTTCACCATTCTTGGGCTTGTACTCCAAATTATCATTCCCCCTATCGAGACCTCGAAATATCTGCTCTGGTATGGCTCGTGGTAATTGGGTCCCCATCGGAGCTTTATTTCCTTTCCCCATAGGGTCAGGTAGACCACGTTAAATATCCATGGGGATGTTGGTGGGCAAGGTTGGAGCTGGGCGTCGTATCTAGGGAGGTACACTTGCCTTGAATGTTGTTCTATTTGGGGATCGTCCAGGTGAGGTTGCCTCTTGTACTGGCGATTGGAGTAGAAATAATTTCTCGTAGGGTCTTCCCATTTGAGGAAGTCAATTGCTGGTTCATCGAGCCAAATTATGTCTTTTGCAGTTTTTAAAGCTGGTATTGTCGAGCCAGTTTGTCTGCACTGGATCAGTACGTTGGTTATTCCAGCACTAAGGGGTTTTGAGTCTATAATATCTTCCTCACGTACGGGGCCCCTGGTGAAGGTGCAACCAGACATGCTCGCTTAGGGTATCTTGTCTTCTGGTAGATTGGATGCGCGGGCTGTTCGGCTCCAGATCCTCTGGGATCTCTATTTGTTACTCGCCCTTTATAAAGTTCTACACTGAGCGGTGAGGGGTGGTGTAAGTCCGGTCTTAATCCTCGCCACACCCACTTCCATTGTCTGACTGACCACTCAGAGGGTTCTCCTAGGGGACCCTCCATTGGCTCAAGCTGATCGCCAAGATAGCTGATCATTTCATCCCAATCACCATATCTCTCCATTGCTTCTCCCATTACTCGCTCCACCAGCTCCTCTCTTGCGGCCTTATGCTGGTCGTAGGCTTCTCCCATCTCTGTCAGCGCTGTTGTCAGGCTGATCAGCGGGTGTCC